GAAATGTAGGCACATATGGTCGTCTTACAGAAAGGATTTTCAAACAACATTTGATACCTAGTTAGGCCAATGTGTTATGCAGTGCCACAGACATCAGATAGAGCCACCTTTTTCAGAAGGATTAAACTTTGCTAGGAAACTTATTCAGAAATGAAGATGTATAACATTCTGCTCCACATCAGTCCTATTCTTGCCATGCATATCAGCTCTATTTTATCTTCCTACATATATAAACTAAAGTGTCATATGATAGAAGAAGTACTGAATAAGAACTAAGAACAGGACATCAGCGATGTGTAGTAAAATTCATGGCAAAGTTTGCCTGAGAGAAAAAAGCAAAGCAGAAATAATGAGTTCTTATCACCACAATACCCTGCTGCAATCATTCTAGCTGTTCAAGTTACGTTGCATCCAAATACTGTATGAAACATGGCAAAGTCAACAGTTCCAAAATTGACGACCCTGTCAAATTCACCTTTATCAGCTGCACAGGAAGTTGAGCATATTCAAACAAAATCATGGAACCATCGGTCATCTAGGATAAATCAGTCAGGCAACGACAAATCGACCAAATTGCCCTATTAAGAACAAACATTTCCAGGAGCAATACCTGCTAATTAAGTGTAAGCTTGCTAATTATCGCACTAGGCAGAAATAACCCGTACAGGCAGTGTCATCAGAAGATATCAACCCATCATCCTACACCAATTTCACCAACTAATTGCAGAAGCTTGCACAAACAGCACAGTTTCACGCAAGTACAACGCCAGGGACTCGTACCGTGACCGAGCAGGATGTCGATGATCTGGGCGTTGCCGCTGCTGGCCACCGAGTGAATCGGCGCCCACCCTTCCTCGTCCTTCCCGTTCACGGCGCTGGCCACGGCGTCGCCCCCCGCAGCCACAAGCGCGGCGACGGCCTAAAACATCAAACAGCCCCCCAAAGCCAAAAGGGGTCAGAACCCTAAACCCGGAGGGCGAGCAGATTTGGGGGCTAATCGCGCGGGGAAGCGGCGGCGCTTGCCTCGGGGCGGCCGGAGGAGGCGGCGACGTGGACGAGGGAGCGGCCGTCCTCGTTGCGGAGGGAGAGTGCTGCGGCGAGGTCGGCGGGGGCGAGGGAGGCGAAGACGCTGGCGTCCCCGGACTCCGCGGCGAGGAAGAGCTCCTTCTCCGACGGCTTCTCTCCGCCGGCGTCGACCTCCATTGCCGCGGCCATCTGGTGCGCGTGCTGCTCCGGCGAGTAAGCGAAGCTTGCGAATTCTGAGTTGGGTCGTCTCTCTCAGAGGTTCCGCAGTGCCGCTTCGGGTTGTTTGTGTGTGTCAATCTGAGTTCTTACGCCTTCCTCAAGAAAGAAAGTGAAAGCCGGGCCCGTCAAAAAAAAAGAAAGAAAGTGAAAGCCGGGACTGGGTCGGGTGGGCTAGGCCCAAGGGGATTCTCGCTGCACAGCTGGCCCAGACGTACAACCGTGTGGGCTGCTGGAACGCATTTCCGGTGTATATGGTCCCTTTTCTGGATTCGGGCTGAAGTAGGTTATTATTATTATTATTATTATTATTATTATTATTATTACGAGCTAAATGCATGTGTAATTGCTAAAAAAACTAAATGTCCGTGCGTTGCAATGTAATAATAAATAAATAGAAGTACTAACTAATGTTGTTTTCTGTATGAGCATGTCATTAGAGAGCAATGTGTGTGTGATGTCTCACATGTCACAATAAAAATCTGGATTTTCTCTTCAAGTCTTGACATAGAGGGTGACCAACACACACCTTCGTGTTCTTCTTTCTCCTAGCCGCATGTCTCCTACATCCCCGCTTTCAAGCATGAAATATTAGTAAACCCCACAGAAACCAAAACCATTAATAAACGTACTAAGCAACCAAACTGGATAAACTTTTAGTGAAGTCATTATTTTAATTCATGTGATGAGATAATTAGTGTATATCAATTTTCATGGGCATATTTGTAGCAAAGTTTAGTAGTTTAGTATGCTTATTAATTGTTTTTCATCTGGATTTTCTCCATGCGTGTTGCACGTGGAAAGAGAAAGAAAATGATAAACCCAAAAGATGTAAATAAATCAAGTGGAAACAGATTTTTTTTAAAAAATGTACAAATCACCATCTAAAATCAGATAGGGTGGCTGCTAGAGGAGATTTAGCTAATTCTTATTTATACGAGTTAAGAAATTCAAAATAATGGGTTTGTTGAAATTGATTTGGGTTGAGCAGGGCATTTTGGAGGCCGAGCACCATGGAGGCCTTGATTTTGAACTTTTTAAAATTTAAGCTTTTTAGTTAAAAAATTCCTACTCCCTCTGTTCTAAAATAGATGACCCAACTTTGTAATAACTTTGTACTAAAGTTAGTATAAAGTTGAGTCATCTATTTTGGAACGAAGGGAGTAAAACATATACACGTATACAAGGATGTGATGTATATGTGTATGAAGTTTCATGACGAAATATAAGCTGCACAAAAAGTTTTATGATGTAATAACTTGAATTACGATATGGAAAATTCATGGAAGCGAGAAGTATGATGTATGTACATTATATCTCTGGAGATATATGTATTTTGTTCAATTTTTTTGAAACGCAGAAGTATGATATTTTCTTAATTAAGGCATCCATGGGGCTCAACCTTCATTTGGCATTTTTTTAAAAACAAGAAAAACTTTCAATCTATTCATCTTCAATTATGGTAGTACAACGAACACTAGAAATAACAAATATTACATCCAGATCTGTAGACCACCAAGCGACGACTACAAGTACTGAAGCGAGCCGAAGGCGCGCCGCGGTCATCGCCCCTCCCTTACCGGAGCCAGGCAAAACTTGTTGTAGTAAACAGTTGAGAAGTCGTCGCGCTAAGGCCCTGTAAGACCAGCGCACCAGAACAGTAACCGCCGCCGATGAAAAGTAGCATAGATTGAAAGGATCCAACGTAAACACACACGAACGTAGACGAACGATGAACAGATATGAGCAGATCCACTAGAGACAAATCCATCGGACACGCATCTCCATAAGCCCACCGACGATTTTAGATGCACAATCGGAATGGGGGCTAGGCAAGGATAACCTTATCCCATCTTCAGGAAGCCATCTGTCTCGCCTTCCTAAGCAGGACACAAACTCTAACAAAATTTAAAGAAACATCTAAAAACGGAGCCCTCCCGCTGGTAAGGGCCGAGATAACCGCACCCCTATGGTCCTAAAGCCACCCGAGACGAGTTGGACCGGCGACAATGCCGACGGGAGGCGAAGAGACCCTAAGTTTTATTGAGGAGAGGCTGGAGGCGGCGGCTGCAACTTTGGCATTTTCATTTTTGTGCTGCCTTATGAAAGAAGGAGGTGTATATGCAGACCTCAAGCTGTTGAAGTTCAACAACCGCCACGGCTCCTAACAAAAGGCACTTGACACGAACCAATATGTGGTTAAATAGTTAGAAGGATAGTGGTATTTGCGGTACACAAAGGTGCAAATCCTGATGCTCGTATTTATTCTAAATTTATTTCAGGATTTTCGATGATACGTGTTCTCTAAGAGCAGATGTTCAGTGTGCGTGTGTGCATTCATAGAGAGAATGTATGCACGTATATGTATATATAGGCGCATTCATAGAGGGAATGTATACGTGTATATATGTAAGCGCTTGCGTTAAAAAAACAAAACAAAAGGGACTCGACTATTTCCGTCAACTCGCGGGGCCATTGACTCGTCGTCTCGCCTCCGGCGGCCAGGTCACAAGCTACTGCGGTAGGGACGGATACCCCGCCGCATTCTTGTTTCCTCTGCACGCGTTTCCACTAGCTGCAGGCGTGCTAGCGGAAGCGACTGCCAGTGGCTGTTCATTGTCAACTGGCCGTTTCCGCAGTTCCATCAGCGCGCGAGAGCCTGGAGAAGAGGGACAGATGCCGATGCTGGTGGTCACCCATTCATCCTACTGCAATGCCTGCTCTTAGTTTTTTTATGCACAACCATTCCTGCTCAATTCGGGGAATTCTAATTTCTAATAACGCGGTGGGTCTTTTATTAATCTGTGGCAACTACTCATACCGATCTGTGTTTGTTTATCCATCGGATACATGATGCATTTGTCCAAATTCTATTAACATGGCTCGTGGAGCGCTGAAGGGGCGGTTGAACGCAACCAGTTCAGCGAGCCGATCACTGAAAGAGAAAAGAAATGCCATGTGCATTCCAATAAAGGTTTCCACTGACTGAACGTGCAGGCGCACGCTGTAGCTGCACATATCATATCCACACCAGGTCTGAAGGAAGAGAAATGTTGTTTAATCTGGTTGATTCCACGAAGGTAAGGTTGGGGTTGCTGTTGAGATCATTCCCCTTTCTGATACATAAACCTTCTCCGAAGTGAACGAATTAGCTATGCACAGAAGAACACAGCCACAGATGGGTGGTGCCTCCGCTTCCTTCTTCTACCTCTTGCTGTCCCTCCTCTGGGTTCAGGATGCGGCCGCGACTGGTCTTGGCTCCACAAGAAGTGATTTCCCACAGGAGTTCGTCTTTGGAGCTGGAACCTCGGCATACCAGGTAAGCAATCTTATCTTGCTTTGTGCTGAAAGTTCTGGCGTGCTTAGTTCGTCGTCCGTTGAATCAATTTTGATGTCTCTTCTTTTTGCACATGCAGTATGAGGGCGCTGTTGTTGAGGATGGCAGGAGCCCGAGCAGTTGGGACACTTTCACCCACGCAGGTTGGTTGCTACATGTCTCTTTGTGAAATTTGCCTCTGGTTTTCCGGTGCTGCATTTTGGTTTAGCCCGACCATGGATATTCCCAATGAGTAACAAATAGCACCTCGAGCAGTTTGTGATCAGTTTTCCTTATTAATGCGTCGAGTGGATATCTGGGACGAGTGCCCTCTTGGTGGAGCATAACTAAATTCAGAGAAATTATTGGCAATAGCCAAGACCAGAACTTAATGTGGTTGACCAATCACATTTAGGCCAAATTTTTTTGAGGAAATATTTAGGCCAATTTTGACAGCTAGAATTTTTATCTTGCAGGCAAAATGCCAGACAAAAGCACGGGTGATGTTGCTGCAGATGGGTACCACAAATACATGGTAAGAGGGGCCTTGCAAAATCTTGAACGTTTCTCTGCCTTAGTAATTCTGAAAGAAATTTGGCTTATCTGATTTTGCAGGAGGATGTCAAGCGCATGTATGAGACAGGCCTAGAGGCCTATAGGTTTTCCATCTCCTGGTCAAGGCTCATTCCAAGTACAAAAATTATCATGACCTTCATCAGAACAAATTGCTTTAATTAGTTTTCTAATTGATCTCATTGTTTCTGGAAATTTCGGGTTTGTAGATGGACGCGGAGCTGTCAATCCCAAAGGGCTACAATACTACAATAACCTCATTGATGAGCTAGTGAATCATGGCAAGTATTTTTATTAGATCCTTGGGCATATTAAATGTTTAACTGCAATCAATTGTTGGATTCATACTTCATATAATCGATGTTCCTTCTCAACAAATGCATGCAAATAAAAGTTTGAACCCTCTGGTCTCCGTGGTATTTATCCCAGGAATTCAAGTCCACATCACACTTCACCATCTAGATCTCCCCCAGATTCTTGAAGACGAGTATGGTGGATGGTTAAGTCCCAGAATCATGTAAGTGTATATATGATTTCACTACCAAACAGATAACTCTACCACAGTGGCGATTTTATATGCCATTGGCATATGCAGATGACATAATCATTTGTTCTATTCATATTTTCAAATCTGAAAAATGCAGCGAAGATTTCACAGCATATGCAGATGTTTGCTTCGGGGAGTTTGGAGATAGAGTTGCATCTTGGACGACGGTGAATGAGCCAAACATTGGCATATTGGCCTCTTATGATGTTGGTACATTCCCTCCTGGCCGTTGCTCAGATCCATTTGGAGCGACAAAGTGCACCGCCGGGGACTCTACTGTGGAACCATACATAGCAGCTCATAATACCCTTATGGCTCATGCATCGGCTGTCAGTCTGTACAGAAAGAAATATCAAGTGAGTGGATGATCTTGTACTTGAAAAGTTTTGGTGATGCTTAGGCTCATAAAAACTAAGGAACCTTTTGGACGTAGGCCATGCAAAAAGGAGTTGTTGGCATAAGTATCTACTCTTTCTGGAGTTATCCATTGACAAATTCCACTGTGGATTTAGCTGCAACCCGGAGATGTAAAGATTTCTTCTTCGGCTGGTATGATCGATATTGTACCTCAATTTTGTCACTGGAAGCATTTAAATTAACCTGCATAATACGTGCATTGTTGAGATCTTAAGTGCGGTACTTGGCAGGATACTAGATCCATTGGTGTTTGGGGACTACCCAGAAGTAATGAAGAAGATTGTTGGCTCTCGCCTTCCACCCTTCACGGAAGTTCAGTCTGAACTTATCAAGGGTTCTTTAGATTTTATTGGAATAAATCACTACTACTCTCTCTACGTGAATGATCGCCCTCTAGAAATAGGCGTTCGAGACTACAGCGCAGACATGTCAGTTATTTTCAGGGGTAAGTATCTTTGTTGATTAACTGCTCATAGTTATGTACTGTGTGGATGTGCAATTTGATTGGTTTTTTAGAGTTTCTTTTTCTAGGACATTCATTCTTCTTCTAATGGTTAATTAATCAGTTGCGCTAGAAATTGTGTGCAATAGTAGGCTTACTATTCATTTTTGTAGCAACGGTCACACAAGCAAACAAGGAGATTCCTTTTTTCGCGAATACGCACTGTGGCGTATCATTCCATTGATAGAAGAGAGAAAGAGTACATTGTTGGTAGCCCTAAAAGCCGTACACTAGAAGGCGGCATTAGGGCGACCGGTGAGCCAGAGAGAGGGGGTTGCTCAGCCCCAGGGTACAGAAGTCAGGTTACAGGAAGGATCCTATCTAATCCTTGGGCGCCGGTTCTAGCCCAGCATCGAGCCTCGTCCTTGATCGTGGCAAGGAGGTTGCCACTGGAAGGTTGCAGGCCATCGAAGACGATGCTGTTCCGGTGCTTCCAGATGGCCTAGGCTGTTATGATGACCAGAAAAAGGCTAGCCAAGCTACTGTGAAACGATGTCTTGCTAATGCTAATTGCTAAGACGGCAAGCAACATTTCCAGATTCACCAATGACGTAAATTGGGCATTTCTCTGAGTGCGGTCTTGAATCATCCCTGGAAACACGTTTAATTAGTGCGTATTATGCGTTTCAAAGCATGTTTTTGCACACCAATGTAACAGAAAAGAGTTGAACGTACTGTTTTAACCAGTGACCCCTTTGTATGATGCAGGTTCTAGGACAGACCCACCATCTGGTCAGGTAAAAAGAACACCATGTCATCAATGTGTTTTGCAAAGAAGCTACTAATGTTTAGCTAAAAATGCAACTATTCTGGTCATTAAATGTACATCCGTTGAATTATGTTATGTGTTTCTGAACTTCTTCTAGAGATTAGAAAGAAACACCCACTTAAAAACTGGTATCATAAGCTTGATAGTAACTGTCAGAGGTAATCTGTATTGGAGTGCAAGGCCCCCCAACAAGTGTTCCAAGTGATCCCAAAGGGCTGCAACTTCAACTGGAGTACCTGAAAGAAAACTACGGGAGCCTTCCGGTCTATGTCCAAGAGAATGGCAAGCAGAATTCCCAACCAGAAGCATGCCACTGTTGAAGAAGAAAGGTGCATCGTTGCTCTTGCTCATGTAGTCATGTGGTTTTGTTTCAGGTGTGGGATCTGCCGATGACAGCCTAGACGACACCGATAGGGTCGGTTTCCTGGGCAGCTACATGGAAAGCACATTAAACGCGATGAGGTGTGTCGAGATTACATACATACCCCGTTCTTTCATCATTGACTTTCAAAAAGCTCTGCCTGCTTATGCAGAGGCCGGGTGTGTGTTTATTTTTTGAACAGAAAGGCCCCCTCCCCCATTTTATTAAAACGGAGCAAAACATTGGTGTGTGTTCATTGTGTTTTATCCACTTAATGCATTATTTTGAATCAATAAAATCCATCTTTCGCCGGGAAAAAAATATCAACAACAACGCAACTTGTAAGTTAAAATTTCCATATTACGGTTCCGGGGACAAAGGGAAAACATTAGTTCCACCATGCATTACAACTGCGTGCGTGATGCTCTGCTTGTTTGTTTGTTGTGCAGGAACGGAGCCGACGTGAGAGGCTACTTTGCCTGGGCATTCATGGACCTGTTCGAGCTCCTGGCCGGGTACCAGTCGAGGTACGGGCTGCACCGCGTCGACTTCGCCGACGAGAGGCGGCCGCGGCAGGCCAGGCTCTCGGCTCGCTGGTATTCCAGCTTCCTCAAGCGCAACGGAACCACTGCACTCGTTTCTAGGACGGCGGAGAAGCAGGAGCTGAGGGCCGTGTCCTGAATTGCTAATCTGGAGCAACCGTGCCTGCCTCCCTGCCTGCTGCGGGACTGGGAGAGATGAGGCGCGCGCTTGCCCGTATGCCTGTACAGATTCCGGTCAGAATGTCTGCTTCTTGTGTGAGCTATCGAAGAAAGGAACCCTCGAATTGTATTTTTGCATTTTCCTCCTCGCCGGCGTAACCCGGTCTCCGGTCGCCGGGACAGTTTCTCCTGTAGAAGGTAGCCTGGCGTATGATAGTACTCCCTCCATCCTTTTTAGTCTGCATATTTTTTGTCTGAAGTCAAAGTATATTTAATTTGACAAACTTATACAAATAAGTACCAACATTCATAAAACCAAATAATATCATTAGATCCATTATGGAATGTAGCTTCATAATATATATATATATATATATATATATATATATATATATATATATAAAATGTTGATATAATTTAATACAAATTTGATCGAAACTTGTAAAGTTTGACTCAACATAAATTTTGTATGCAGAGTAAAAAGAAACAGAGGGGTACTAGTATTACCCTGGTAAGAGCATCTCTAGTGGAACGTGTAAATTTGGACGTGTATATCTCCATATACACGTCCATATACACCTTGCTAAATTATACATCTCCCAGTTTTTCAGTGGAACGTGTAAATTAGGACGTGTGTATTCCAACGGCTATATTTTCAAACGGCTATATTTCCAACGGCTATATTTCCAACGGCCATATTTCCGATCTATATAAACCACCCCTACCACCTCTCTTCCAGCACACTTCTACCTGTGACTTCTCTTCTCACCTAGATTTCTCTATCGTTTGTCACGCAACACAATGAACACATCCACTTGGGACATGAGTTCTTCGTCATCTTCATCTGGCGACGATGAACTCATACTTGCAGCATTCGCCGAGCGGGAGGAGGAAGAGAGGAAGAACGGTCGACGCCATGGCGGTTCCAAGCATGGACGTCAGTCAATCGATCGAGGAAGAGATGCCGGATTTCTTCTGTGGGATGACTACTTCAAAGAAGTTCCTCGCTTTCCCGAACATTTGTTTCGACGAAAGTTCGTAATTAGTACACTTCTCTGCTTTGATCCTTTTTTCATTTCCCTGTCTCATTTAATTTTTATGCACAGATTTAGGATGTCGCGTACTTTGTTCAACCGCATAGCTGATGGTATACTTGAGCATGACTATGATGATTATTTTACGCAAAAAAGAAGTGCTTCTGGAGCTCTTGGGTTACATCCTTTGCAAAAGATGACCGCGGCGATGCGGATACTAACATATGGAATAGCAGCCGATTATGTTGATGAGTACATCCGGTCCGCTGAGTCTACTAATTTAGAGTCTTGCAAGAAATTTGTGATCAAAATTTGTGAAGTTTTTGGGGAAAAGTACCTGAGATCTCCAAATGAAGAAGACATTGCTAGGTTACTTGCAATAGGGGAGGAAAGAGGATTTCCCGGTATGTTAGGGAGCATAGATTGCATGCACTGGGGGTGGAAAAATTGCCCCAAAAAATGGCATGGCATGTTTAAAGGCCATGTGAGCGAGCCCACTATGATCTTGGAAGCAGTTGCTTCACAAGATCTTTGGATTTGGCATGCTTATTTTGGTTTACCAGGGTCTCTGAATGATATAAATGTTCTTCAACGTTCTCCTGTTTTTACAAAGCTAGCCGAAGGCCAAACTTCTCCAGTGAATTATAGCATCAATGGCCATCAGTACACAATGGGGTATTACCTTGCAGATGGTATCTATCCACGGTGGGCAACATTTGTGAAGAGCATACCAGCTCCAACTAGCAGAAAGCATAAAACTTTTGCCAAGAAGCAAGAGGGGGCTAGGAAAGATGTGGAACGAGCCTTTGGAGTTCTGCAATCCCGTTTTGCCATTGTTCGTGGACCGGCTAAAGGATGGAAACGTAAAGAAATCACTGATGTCATGAAAGCTTGTGTCATAATGCACAATATGATAGTTGAAGAGGAGCGGCAAACTGGTCGGCAAAGCTGCACTTTTGAGGCAATGGGAGAAAGAGTCACAGTCTCTCGTACTCATGCGGAAGAACTGAGCTCTTTTATTCAGATGACTAATCGGATTAGAAATTTCGATGAACATGATCAGCTTAAACTTGATCTAATTGACCATGTCTGGCAAAAGTTTGGAAACGAGTGATGTAATCCATGTCTTTGTAATGCAGCTATCAATAAAAATATTTATGCAATGAGTGATGTAATCCATGTCCTCAACTAGCAGAAAACAATAAATAGTTCTTACAACTACAACATATAGCTCACATTACCCTAGGCCGCGAGCAAGGATCTCCTTCTGCTTAGCTTGGTAGAACTGCTTTTGAACATCAGTCATACCACTTGTGTCGATGAGCATGACCCTCTCATCTAATTCAAACTGTCTCCGTGCATCCTCCCTCTCGTTTCGTGCATCCTCATTCTTTTTGAGTGCAATCTCCTCTTTTCGCAATTCCAATTGCTGTGCGTAGCGAGCATTTCTTGCCGCCTCTTTGATCTCATCCTTCTCTAGCTTTGCTGCCCACACAGTTTCTAATGACAGCTTGCAAGCACTGTCATCAGCTTTACCTCTCTTGTCCCTCTTCACACCATCAGGTCTTTTCTCATGTTCAAGAGCATCAGTGTGTATCGAGGTAGCATCGGTACGTACCGAGGATGCATCAGCCGGATCATTGGTGGCTGTGCCTGGACTTGCATCAATGGTCTTCTTTTGTTTCTTAAGAGAAGTTTCAACTTCTCTTGTCTGCCACTTTGGATACTTCGAAAACTCTACATAGCAATGCATCAGTGTGAAAGGCTTCTTTTTTTTTTAAGATCCATTTCCTTGAACAAAATGTGTGCATCGTTTGTCTGCACATATAAATATGTTGTTAAAATAAGCACAACACATATAGAATATTGCACATCACATATAGAATTACAAGAAAGGCGCATACCTTTTCTTGTATAGTCCTTCCACTTTCTTCCCTATTTAAAATCTGCTGAAGGCAACCACAAAATTTAGAGGTCTCTCTATTAATCATTGTGTAACGGCAATTGATTGCATTAGCATTACGCTCCGGCCATGATGATTCCTTGTGTGTGTTGTAGTACTCTGAAATTCTATCCCAATAAGCATCCCGGTTTTGATCTGTCCCAACAATATCCAAACTTGTATTTGCCCATGCTGCTAGGAGAACCTTGTCCTCATCACTAGACCAATTTTTGCCTTTGTTGGATTTTCCTTTCTCTGTTATTGCAGAACGATGCTGAGTTGATGGAGTTGCCTGCTCTCCAATTGGACTTTCTAGTTGTGTTTGCGTGTAACCAAAACCAAGGGTGTCCAAGAAGCTTTGGTCAGTATCCATCTGCAAGAAACCAATGCACAGCTATTTTAGACCACAATCTGGCATCAAATTGACAAGCAAAAATTATTTTCTTCTCCTTCCAAATGGCTATGCATCTCCCCTGCATCTCCTCCATTTCCCCTGCATCTCCCCTGCATCTCCATCTCCCCTGCATCTCCTCCACGGCGCCGCACGCCGTGCATCTGCATCTCCTCCATCTCCCGTGCATCTCCCCTG